CCAAGGGCTTGTTGAAATGGGGCTTCCCAATATCAAAGACCACTTCCCTGGGGAAGCCAGAGCAGCAGGAGCAGCCTGGAGCTGGGTGGTGGGAGCACCCCCAGCTCCGCTCCCAGAGGGGAGGTAGGGGGATGCCCGAGCACCCTTGGGTGCAAAAAACAGGACGGGAGGGGACGTCCCCGGGTGGATGCGAGATCTTGGTTGAATCACAGGGGACGCACCTGGGGAAAATATGCCCTGGTGGGGTTTGGTGGCGATGCTGAGGTGGCTGTCCCCCTGCCAAACTGTCCCCATGGGCTCTCCCCCATCCCTCACGCACCTCTCCCGCCTCGGGGGGGGCTGCAGAAAAGCCCCCCTGAGCCCTGCCAGCCAGGATTTAGGAGCCTTGAGTTGCTGCGGGGGCTGTGGCTGGAAGGAAGCACTTTCCATTAGCAGCACAGAAAGCTTATTTTTTATTTAAAACCTCCAGCAACTCGAAGTGGAAAACAGGGAGGGGGAAAGCAGCCTCCGCAGCGGGGCTGCTCTCCCTGCAGCAGGACGGAGCGGTGGGGACGGCGTTGGCTGCTCCCCACCTACGAACAAAATCATCAACCTGCACCCAGGGGATGATTAACGCCAGCCCTTTCTCCCGGGACACCTTCAAACAAGGATCTTCAAAGCGCTGAGGATACCAAGGGCAGCGTAGGGAGGGACAGGGTGGGGTTTGTGGTCCAGTCAATGCCCCAGAACTGCCCGTCGGGGTCCCCCCCCAAGGGGACCGGGCAGCTGAGCAGGGACTGGACACACTCGCCCACTCTGCCAGTTCCTCCCACGTCTCTCTCGAGAGCAGAGGGGAAATGAAAGTTGCTGAGTTGAAATTTCCAGCTAACGGGGAAAACCAGCTGGCCCGCTGAGAGCCAAGGAAGAGGAGAACAAGGCAGCTGGATGGCACGAGGGCCGCCCATCCGGAGATGGGGCTCTGCGGCGGGCGCTCACCAGGGATGACACCAGCTCCTGTGCAAGGCAGGGGCTTCCTCTTGCCAAATCCTGCCTGCGAGATGGTGCTGAGGGGTTCTGCAGGCTGGGACATCCCCAGGGAGGTGAAGCATCGCTGTGCTGGACATCCCCAGCAGTCCCTGCGTGATGGGGAGCATCTTGCCGGTGCATGTCTGGCCGGGTGGGCTGAAGGCGTTGGGCGCTGGCTCAGGAATTTGGGAAACACCGAGCAGAGCCGCTGGGTCCATCGCTCCCCCACCATCACGCCGGGAAATGCCGCTGGCTCGGTCCTCTGCGGGGACATCGGGGTGTCCATGGGAGCCAGGGGAAGGACACGGGATCAATCCTGAGGTTGTCACTCCCACTGGCATGTGCCGGAGCCACTCCCTGCAGTGGGGCCGTGGGAACGGGCTGCGGTTCTTGGCGTGTGACGGTGAGGGTTGTCCCCATGGCACAGGGAGCCGGCCCGAAGGGGCAGCCAGGCAGCGCCAAGGCAAAGCAGAGGGTGTCAGCAAATGCGGGCCCGGAGATCTGAGCCATCACTGTGTCCCTCTTCATCAGGGACAGTGCCGCAGAGGGACTTTGGGAAAATCCAGCGTGGCAGCGTGGGCTGCCGGGAGCACCACTGCAGCCACCACGGTCCAGCAGCCGGGTCCGTCCCGGGGGGCTTGGGGCGACCAAAAAGGTTGGGCAGAAGCTGAGAGCAGCCAGGATGTGGCCCAACGAGCACCACGGTCGCAGGGAGCAGCCGCGTGCCCGGTGCCGCAGCCGGCCGCCCCAGCCCG